GCCAAGCACCACGTGAGAGGAGGAGGAGGAGAGGTAGGGCTGCACCAAGAGGAGAAGTTCTCATGTCTATAGCAGCCCCAAACCTCAAGTATATATAGGGGAGGGAGAGGGCTGCGCCCCCATCTAGGGTTCCCCCCCCCCCAAGGGGTGCGGCCAGCCCTAGATGGGGCTTGGGGAGGCGGCCAAGAGGGGGAGAGAGGGGAGGCGCGCCTGGGGTGGGCCTTAGGGCCCATCTGCCCTAGGGTTTGCCCCCTCCCACTCTCCCTTGCGCCTTGGGTCCCTTGTGGGGGGCGCACCAGCCCACCTAGGGGCTGGTCCCCTCCCACACTTGGCCCACGCAGCCTTCTGGGGCAGGTGGCCCCACTTGGTGGACCCCCGGGACCCTCTCGGTGGTCCCGGTACATTACCGATATCGCCCGAAACTTTTCCGGTAACCAAAACAGGACTTCCCATATATAAATCTTTACCTCCGGACCATTCCGGAACTCATTGTGACGTCCGAGATCTCATCCGGGACTCCGAACAACATTCGGTAACCACATACAAGCTTCCTTTATAACCCTAGCGTCACCGAACCTTAAGTGTGTAGACCCTACGGGTTCGGGAGACATGCAGACATGACCGAGACGTTCTCCGATCAATAACCAACAGCGGGATCTGGATACCCATGTTGGCCTCCACATGTTCCACGATGATCTCATCGGATGAACCACGATGTCAAGGACTCAATCGATCCCGTATACAATTCCCTTTGTCTAGCGGTATTATACTTTCCCGAGATTCGATCGTCGGTATACCGATACCTTGTTTAATCTCGTTACCGGCAAGTCTCTTTACTCGTTCCGTAACACATCATCCCGTGATCAACCCTTTGGTCACATTGTGCACATTATGATGACGTCCTACCGAGTGGGCCCAGAGATACCTCTCCGTTTACACGGAGTGACAAATCCCAGTCTCGTTTCGTGCCAACCCAACAGACACTTTCGGAGATACCTGTAATGCACCTTTATAGCCACCCAGTTATGTTGTGACGTTTGGTACACCCAAAGCATTCCTACGGTATCCGGGAGTTGCACAATCTCATGGTCTAAGGAAAAGATACTTGACATTAGAAAAGCTTTAGCTTACGAACTACACGATCTTTGTGCTAGGCTTAGGATTGGGTCTTGTCCATCACATCATTCTCCTAATGATGTGATCCCGTTATCAACGACATCCAATGTCCATAGCCAGGAAACCATGACTATCTGTTGATCACAACGAGCTAGTCAACTAGAGGCTCACTAGGGACATATTGTGGTCTATGTATTCACACGTGTATTACGATTTCCGGACAATACAGTTATAGCATGAATAAAAGACTATTATCATGAACAAAGAAATATAATAATAACACTTTTATTATTGCCTCTAGGGCATATTTCCAACACCAGGCGACAGCGCCGATGAATCGGCCGGCCCAGGTGGCAACGAGACCACGGACACAGGCGACGTGGGTGCCTTGTCAAGTCCACTTGCATGCCCCATGCACTCGTGGTCGACGTCGTGAACAGCCTGCGTGGCAGCAGGCACAGCCGACGTAGTGGCGGCTAGCTCAGGTGAGGCCGCATGATCATCCTCAAGAAGCTCAAGTCGCGCACCTCGTCCAGTCCCTGCACCATGGTTAGGCAACAACAGAGGAGAATATGCAGCATCCACAAATTGAGCAGGCAAAACTGGAAAAGAGTGCAACTTGGTGACGGGAGTATCAGTGGATGATGTGAATGTGGAAAAAGGGAAGACAGTCTCATCGAACACAACGTCACGGGAAATGTAAACGCGGTTCGTCGGAATATGGAGACACTTGTAACCTTTGTGGAAAGGACTGTACCCAAGGAATACACACTTTTTTGATCGATACTAAAGTTTATGCTTGTTGTATGGACGAAGATGTGGCCAACACGCACAACCGAACACTTTGAGGAAGGAGTAATCTGGAGTTTCATGAAGCAACACCTCGAGGGGAGACTTCATGTGAAGAAGTCGTGTGGGAGTCCTGTTTATCAAAAAACAAGCAGTAACAAAAGCATCGCTCCAGAACCGGAAAGGAACAGAGGCATGTGCAAGAAGTGCTAGACCAGTTTCAACGATGTGACGGTGCTTGCGCTCAGCTGCACCATTCTGCTGATGTGTATGAGGACAAGACACATGGTGTGAGATGCCAAGCTTCTGGAAGAAGGTGTTGAGATTACGGTATTCACCCCCCCCAGTCAGATTGAACATTGATAATTTTGTGCTTAAGTAAGCGCTCAACATGTGCTTGAAATTGCAGAAAAACATGAAACACATCCGATTTGCGCTTAATAAGATAAATCCAAGTAAAGCGACTGAAAGCATCTATGAAACTGACATAATAGTTGTGACCACTGACAGAGGTTTGGGCATAGCCCCACACATCTGAAAACACAAGTTCGAGAGGAGCCTTGACAACACGACTCGATACAGAAAAAGGCAACTGATGACTTTTGCCTTGTTGACAGGCAACACACACTAAAAACTCCTTATTACTCGACTCAACGAGAAGACTATGACAATGAAGCACATGGCGCACAATGGGAGTGGCAGGATGGCCAAGGCGAGAGTGCCACTGTGACGATGACACCCGAACACCACTGAAAACTTGAGGAACTCGTGCATGGGCTCGGGGCACATCAAGTGCATATAATCCATCGCGAGCTCGACCACTAAGTAGAACTTCCCTCATGTCTCGGTCCCTAACAAAAAAATGAAAAGGGTGAAACTCAACAAACACATTGTTGTCACGAGTTAATTTAGGAACCGAGAGTAAACTACATGTGACGGAAGGAACACGAAGGACATCAAGAAGACGCAATGTTTTAGTGGTACGTGAAAGAAGAGATGCCTGACCAACATGTGAGATGGGCATACCTGATCCATTGGCAGTGCGGACCTGATCATGACCGGTGTAGGCCTGGCGAGTGGCCAGCTTGTCAAGCTGGCTCGTCAAGTGGTCCGTGGCACCTGTGTCCATGTACCATGCAGGGTCCACGAATACGAAGGAGTGAACCCAGGCTCCTGTGTAGCAAGGGCAGCCTGCTTCTCGTTACCTTTCCCATTGTTCCCAATGCCAAGGCAATCACGTTTAAAGCGACGATGACAGCGAGACGCCAAGTGCCCCTCAATGCCGCAAAGTTGACACTCAACTCCACCACCACAAGCCTCGCAGTGTAGCCGCTTGCGGCCAGTCGTCGGAGGAGGCGAGGCGGGTGGACAGGGCTGGTTACCCGTGGACGGCACTTTCTGCTTGACACCACGGGCACCCCCGCGGAGAGCAGCATTGGCAGACGGGCCCTCTGTATAGACGCCAACGGAGCGGCGGGCAGCAAGCCGCTGTTCGGTGTTGAGGAGGCGCGCGTAGAGGTCGCGAGGCGGCATCGGCGTGTCACGTCCATCGATGTTTTCAACAAGAGAATCATAGTCCTCATCAAGCCCATTGAGAATGAATGAAGTAAACTCCTCATCACGGAGAGGCTTCCCAATAGACGACAGTGTATCAGCTAGACTTTTGACCTTGTTGAAGAAGGCCGTGACAGAGAGATCATGTTTCTTGACCTCACCCAGCTGGTTACGAATGGTAGATGAACGGGCCAGCGACTGCGAGGAGAAGCTGGAATCGAGTGTAGCCCATGCATCTCTCGACGTCGTGGCAAAGACCACCATGCCAGCCACGGAAGGAGTGAGCGAGGACTGAATAGCACCCAGAATAGCCTGATCCTGAGCAATCCACCGACGATGAGCAGGGTTGGTCACCATGACGGAGCCACCAGTGGCCGAGGGTACCGGAACTGTGTCCGGGGGACACGGCAGCGTACCGTCGACATACCCCTCAAGGTAGTGACTACGCATCAGCGGCAACACCTGAGCGCGCCACAGGAGGTAGTTATCAGCAGAGAGCTTCACCGTTACCAGATGAGCGAAGTGGAACGGTCCTGGTTCAGCCACCGGTGCGGAGAGCCGCGAGTCGTACATCAGAGGAGCGTTGTACGGAGTCAGCGCATCACCCGGCGGGGACACACGGTAGTGTTGGTGATGACCGTGGGGCGCCAGAGGTGGGACGCCGTAGGGCTGCAGCGGCGCGATGTTTAGCACATGGGCAGCGTAGGGCGCGCCGTACGACGCCTCGTAGGGCACCGCGGAGGACGAGGCATACGGTACCAGTGCAGCGTATGGCGGCGGCGACGGCATGACGTACGGCGGCGGATAGGGCCCGCCGTAGGGCGCTTGGACGGGAGCACCAGGAGGACTGGAGACCGGCGGCGCAGCATGCTGAGTCCCACGGTAGTGTGCCAGGGACGGATCGCAAGTCCCGCCGTAGTACGCCTGGGACGCATCGCGAGCCCCGCCGCATGCATCGCGGGCGATCGGGGGCATCTGCATGCGATCGAAGGAAGCAGCTGGCAGGGACGCGTCACGGGCGATCGGGGGCGCGAGCGCAGGCGATCGAGGCGCTGGCGATTGGGGCGCGGGCGGGCGCGAAGCGCTCGGACGGGCCCAGGCGAGCGGTGCAGAAGCCATGAACGGCGAGTCCATTGCTAGGGTTGACGGAGGCGGCACGGCGGCAGAAGCCGGCGCGGCGGCGGCAGAGGAAGCGGAAGCACGGCGCGGATCGAACGCGTCGTCTGATACCATGTTAGACAAACTAGGGTTTGGAACAATGCTCGATGCCCTTGGTGGGCACGGCTGTCATATATTTATAAGAGGTAACCGTACAAATACCGGTTATGTTACAACAAGTATATCTACTATATACTTAGTCTAACACTGCTGGTCCGGGGGGATACCCTCTTGTCCTGGATCTTAGCTTTCACGTTGTCGATTGTGTCAGAAGACTCAACCTCAAGGGTCTTGACGAAGATCTGCATGCCACCACGAAGGCGGAGCACCAGATGCAATGTGGATTCCTTCTGGATATTGTAATCAGCAAGGGTGTGTCCATCCTCAAGCTGCTTGCCTGCAAAGATCAAGCGCTGCTGGTCCGG